AAGGGCATTTCTGTCCGTATCGCGGCTACCGCAAAATTTGTTCACTTTCTAACATTTAACTTCGATTCGAATCTGTAAGTACATAATTTTGTTTGGATTTAACATACATAACCTTATAAATTCGGCGAAAACTTATTAATTAAAGAAAATACGAGTTATAAAAGCATAAAAATATTTATGTATATATAAAATAATAAAAAACATTTCATTTGTTTTCTTAGCAACTGATGTTGACGACCTTTGACAATCATTTGTTTTACATATTTATATCTTAATAAATATGCTTACATGACCCCCAAAATGCCTTTGGATTCTTTTGTACGCCCCTAAATGTTCTACGCTTATATGTCCTTTGCTCAAGTAAGCCCCAGAAGTATAAATGCATAAATCTCAAGTAACTCGAAATAAGTTCACCCATATAATGCTTAGCGATTGCTGACTTCGAACGCTAAGCCAATATTTTTTAAACTTACTATAGTGGATATTGTGCTAATGGCGTTTTACATACATAAATATAACGCACCACGTCGGACCCAATGGGGGTTCCACTAGACAACGCTAAACCGAAACACAATGCTAACACACATAACCAATTAGTTCGTACTCGGCAACGAACGCGGCGACATACATCAACGGTCATCAGAGCCTCGGACCGTAATGAGCCGCGATTGTGATGATAGGTGACATTTTCTCCCTCTAGTTAACGCACAAATAAATATTTTCGGACACATTTTTACGCAAGGTTCTCTAGTCCCAAACTAAGCAACTATAAAATACTGTAAAATATGGGTACAATAAAACTGATAAACATACTTAAACATACTTTTCTTTTGTAAATAAATACATATTATACATATATAAACACACAGACACTAGAAAAAAACTATGTTCATCACATAATATTTAAATAAATGAGAACATATGTGACCTTAACCAACGCGTAGTGTCGTATTACTCTCTTATGATATGATTTTTGTATTCAAAAAAGCTTTAACTACTAAGTAATGTAAGCCTTTGAATGTTTTTAAGAAAAAGCAAATGGTGTAGCAAATGACTTGTACTAGTTTTATTTTAAATCCTTACTAATCCTTACTAATATTATAAAGGCGAAAGTTTGTATGTATGGATGGATGTTTGTTACTCTTTCACGCAAATAATACTTAATGGATTCTAATAAAACTTTACAATAATATAGCTTACACATCAGAATAAGGCATAGGACTATAATTTATATACATATTTTATGTTTTTCTGTCTGAATGTTACGCCTTCAGCCTATTCTACGCAGATGTAGTCGCGGGCAGCAGCTAGTATGAAATAAGTATAACAGTAACATTAGCCACCGGAGAAATGGGGAACAGTGATAAAATCAATCATCGTTTTTCACGCGCCGTGAACAATGAGCGAACGAGCAAATGTAAACAAACTAAAACCTACACAAATAAATATAAATAACCCCATTATCTAGATGACTCATCTCTTAGTCCGAGGGATGCTTCCTAGGCATTTTCATTCGTTGTGTTTTACTAACGTAACGTACATTTAATGTTATTATTAATAAACTCAAGTTTTGGTATTGCATTATGAGCACCCGGCCATGTTTCGCTGTGCCTTTTTTGTTTCCATTAGAACTATGGAATGAAACATAAAAAAATATATATAGAAAATCCGTATTCAAAAGCTATCTTGTGAACAAAAGAAATATCAAGGTAATTCATTCGACTAGTTTTGAGTTTTGTAGACACAGAAATACGGAATCTAAATTTATTGTATATAAAGTATTAGACACTATTTAAATGTCCAATTACCTAATCAATTAATAAATCAAAATTTATCGTTACTATTTAAATTAACTGAACTTTTGGTATTAAATTCAGGTGAATATTTTTTATGATACATCGGCACCACAATTTTCATATTGGTATTGATGTATTTAGAATACACTATCCTAAGACTATTTTAGTCTTAACATAATGTATTCATAATAATGTATAAATTGATAATGTTACATTTGAACCTTGTAAACACAGTGATTGACATTGCATTCAGAGATTGACACTATACAAGCGTAAAATAAAACGGGATATCATCACTTTTATTAATTAAGCCTAACATAGTACACTTAAAAACAAAATAAGACCCAGCGGTTCCGACTGTGCGTTTAACGTGTAAGTTAGTTAATTTGCCCTACAGCTTAAGCAACTCGTGTTAACACCTCAATTTAGTACATTTTTATTGTTTAGATAGTTTTTGGTGCGATTTCGGCGAAGATCTCTGCCACCGTTACTTAATAAGACCTAATCCAGAACTGGCTATTTCTATGTGAAAATTGATAAACGGCCTGGCCGTTTACCTGATATTAAGTGATTGGCGCCGTCCATGGATAGCTACAGCTCCTTGGTGATGGCAGATGCATCACCAAATTTCAAAGAATTAGACCCCAGTTACGTCACTCAAAAGTAGAAACGCGAAAGTGTAGTTAATACTTTCACTTTACACCACTGTGAGGTCGTGGTGCTTCCCCAGACAAGTCTGGCCCATTTTTGCAACAGCCGAAACAGTTGCGTGACCCAGCCTCAGTGAAAAATAAATTGGTTAAGAGTAACATGAATTTGTTTTTACATTCATTTTTAGTTTGTCTTAATTAAGTATTTATTGTGTTGCTTGAATAATAACTAAAAAGTAAATATTAAACAATTTAACGAGACATTAACAGCCTACCAACAGAATTATTATTATTATTACAATTTTTTGTTTACCACATAACCTAAATTACTTAATAATTAATAACCTAAATTCGGTTTTGACATACCTTTTAATCTCGCACATAACGGTCGCGTATTTCACATATTCTGTCTTGTCACTGCACATAAGGATTTTGAGCATTGTACTTCTATGAGTAACCATAATTTCTTGACTCACTGATTTTATTTAAATTTCAATTGTTTGAAAAGCATATTAAAGCTTAATACAATCGTATGCACCAACTTACAAAAAACTTTATTTTTATTAAAAAATGGCTTGCTTTGTGAGTTATAAAAATTTCGCCAATTCCAGTTGGTTGGCCCATCACACGTTAGGGAATGACACTCGTAAATTGTAAATTTAGTAAACGGATTTACTAATGCATCTTTACGTGACAACGGAGCTCTTTAGCTAACACATTGCGTTTTTATTTTCTACCCGCAAATATATTTTTCCTTTTCGCTTTGTCAATTTATACACAATAAAGTTACCAATGAATGTTTCTCAGTCAAAGTAAGTTGAGTGATTACATGCTTACATTGTTTTGGTTGTTTGTAACTGAAATTTCAGGCCATATTAAGTAACGCCGGTTCTTAACGAGATTAAACAAATTGGCTTATGAAGACATTAGATGTTGGTATAAATTACAATTCCTACTCATTTTAATTTACTCAATTTAAAGTACAAGTACATTTTATTATATTACATATTTATTAACAAACAATGTTACATACAACTTCAAATATACGCAGTACACATATAGGTCATGGACAGCGTTGGGTGACGATGACGCGATTCCATGATTTTTGTTCACCTAAAAAGTGCTCAACGCGCCTAAAGAAGTTTTCACTTCAAAACTTCAAAAAATTATGAAATTATGTCGTGTCTTTCTATAATTATGTCAACGTTTAATATCACCATCATGTCAGCGTGTTCAATGAAACAGATAATACGTTCTAGAGGGCGGAACATTGTTCAAGTTTCCGTTATTAGGGTTCATGTTTATTTTAAACATAAATTCAACGAACGTCCTAACTGCGGAATGGAACGGCTCTCCGTAGACAGGGTTGATGGTCGTGAATAAAATTCATTTGCACACGCTGCCGATGATACCGCACGTCACCTGCACAACATGACGGCCATAGTTGCGCTGTGGGGGCTCTCTTTGTCACCGGCTGCCCTTTTGTGAGAAATTCCAATTAATGTGTCATAGTTTCGCCAGAGAAAAAAACCTACTATCGATTTACATTTCAACTGTAACAATGCCGCTGTGACATTGTAATGCCTGTGAGAAATAATGGTTTTATTTTATATAATAGCCATGAAATAGACCAGTTTAAGTTTTTTAAGATCGTACCGCGGTTGGTTGTACGATAGTTATTTTAGTAAATTTGTCGGCATTAGACACAGTACATTGCGCCCTTATTGCTCACTTTCATGTGTAATTCATGTCCTACGCTCGACGCATTCCAAATGTAATCTCACTTCCGACCATCCACATAAAAATCTCGTATATACACATTATAAAAGTTTAGTTCAGAATAATGCAATTAAACACCCTCTTTACAGCCATCTTTTTTAAGTCGGACAGGACGTAAGGTATAAAATCAATTGGAACAGACTTTTCCGTTATTAAAGGCTCTCGGTAAGAAAGAACGCCGTGTCCTTTCTAATTAGAAGTCGCGAGTCGAATTTTCAATGCGTTTCCCCGCTGTCGGCTAATGGTGGGCTGAAATAAAAGTTTATATTTACTGTGCGTGGGTTCTTTCCTCTGAATGAATATTTATGCTTCACTTTTTTACGTTATTCACCTCAAAGCCATCGCTGGCCCAAGTTTTAAGGGCATACTTTCTGTAAATTAAAATTCTTTGATTCTTCTTAGAATTCATAAAGTTCAATGGGCGCGAATTGTAATGTCATTCAACAGATATTTTCTACAGGTTATTTACCTGATTTATTGACGGACTAGTTATATTGAACTATTCAGCAATCTCTAAACAAAAACTAAAGAAACCACTTTTTGTTTCTTTAGTTCTTGCCTAAGTATTTCGGCGAATATAATTAAACCCGACTATAAAACAGTACTAAAAATAACTGCGGCGGATATTAGCGTGTTCTGTACACGTTAGTATCCAAGCGTGTAATTCTTGCGAGTTTAACAGGCGCATAAGATTAGCATATGAGTGGTGGAACGCGATACGTTGGACGAGGCAACGGCGAAACGGTGCCTAGTTATGTCTATAGCACGGTTAGGGATGAACAGGCGCGCCGGTGTTCAGGGCAAACTTTCCAATAAGCCTTCCGGTATACCGTTCGCAAGAGTAATGATGGTTAATTTTAATGGCGCGTCGTCGGCCGAAGCGTCACCCGCGACGTCGCTCGGCGCTCGCCGCCTCCCACCGCGGCCCCGGCGCGTGACCGAACTACGCAACCAGCCTCGATATTGGAATACTACCGCGTCGACCCAAAGTCTGGCGATAAATTTAGTTATTACTTGTGAAAATAGACGGAAGGAGATCGCTAACTTATCCTCGTGAGAAGATAATGGATCATTCGGGGGGACGAGGCGGATTCTTTGCGAAGAAGCGGTCTTGTTATATAGTCTTTACGCGAGGAGTAGAGGAGACATATTTCGCCTAATTAGTAAAAAAAATACATTAACATTATAGTCTGACGGAGTATCAACAATATATTACATATATAAACCGTTTATTAGAGTGTAAGACAATCAATTCGGGATCGAAGAAATCCAAGAAAATACAAAAGTCGCTCTTAAACGCATTCGGTCTTAAACCCTTTACCACAAGCCGAGAGTTCTTACATTAACTATTAAGGCATTTACTACAAACTGAATGATTTTAATTCATACATATACGTTTTTGAACCTTAGGTTCCGATGCTTTGTTATCATTTTATTCGGGAGGTTGATAACGATGATAATATTTATTGAAATTTTAGGTGCGAATTAATGTGAAAGACTCGTAAAATTAACCGAATCCTAATAGCATTCGGTCAGTGCTACATGCTGCTCATTAGGAACTCCTCACCATCAAGCGCCAGAAGAGGTCCACTGTTGATCAAAGGCCTTCCCCTTAGAACGTCATAACGAACGACAATTTGCCATTTGCATCGGACCAGTTGCCGGCAACTATTACGATATCGGCATCTAGTCGGAGGCCTTCCAATACTACGTCTTCCAGTTAAATATTTTAGGCTAGTTAACTTAAAAATGTAGTTTGTGTGGCTACACATTTATTATTGAACTACTTTTACATATGTATAGCTTCATTCGGCCGCGAATATTGTTCGTGAATATGTTAGTGCGTTTGTTCCATATTCATTCGTTACTAATAAATATTTTTAGTTTTGAAACTGGTAGTGACGAACCAATAGATCGGGAATAATTACTGAACACAAACATGGGAATTTGTGCAAAATAAAAGACATTCGGGGACTAGCACGCGACCATTTACCCGTTCGCGATCCTCGCTACACTGCTGATGAATATTGTTTGCAAAAGCACAGCATCCATCACGAAAATGTTTGTTGACGCAGTTAATAGATACAGAACGTTATATCGTTCGCTGTTCATTTATATTTCATCATGACATTTGGCTCGCAAATTTGAAATTGTTTTCGGTATTTGAAAAAGGAATTACTTTCGCTGACAAACGGATTTTGTTTTTTTTTTTTGTAAATTCTATTTTTAGGCAGTTCGGTTTTAATCATTCTTCTGGTGATTGATAAAATTAACATGAATATATATGAAAGTAATTTTTTCAGGAAAAACACCTTTTTATAACCTGAAGTACTTTCGAATATATATCGTATTTACGTTATTTTAATATATTATTATTCGATATAATATAAGTAAGAGAAGATAAGTCAAATTCAGCTCTATGGTTGCCATTAAATATATCACAATAGAATATGAAATCAGACGTTGCTAGTTCCTGGCAATAAAGCCATAAAGTAATAACATTGTCGTTGCTTAATTATTCAATATGTTAATACCTTACCACCAATCAGATAAATAGCAATTCGAGTCTTTGAAAACTTTTCTTGTTTTGGAAGTACATAGCGACAACAGCGTTTTTCAATTTCCATGTATATTTGAATATCGAATTTAGGATACAACAATGTAATAAATTTTAAGTGACCTAGGACGTAATGTGGTTTCCGTTAAAGCGGCAAACTTCGCCCGCCATCCGAATTTCGGTACTAAAGCGCGCAAGCCAACGTGAGCTATCGAAAGATAGGTACCGCCTGTTCTACGTTACACGGGCAACACGGAGGTAGGTAACAATATTTCCCACGGCAACAAATTGAATAAACACATCAGCGTTCGCCTTAAACGACGAAAAGACTAGTTCAATAACGGCAAGCCCTCCGAGCGATAAATATTCCCCTATCTACAGCCGACTCGAACGCTCAACGTGTTTATGCTATCTTAGTAGCTTTTACTAAGTCGTCTATGTAATGTATTATTTTTGCGTGCGCGGCAAATGCTTTCTAATCTATAAGTAAGTTGAAAAAACTATTTGATTATGTAATATTTAAGTCCAGATAAATAAGTTCGAATAAATAAGAATTCTTTCAATATCTCCTATTTGTTTGAAAAATAATCAAATCGTGATGATCGCAAACGGTCACTCTATCAGAGTTGATAAAATTAATGATCATTTTAATACTATTCCATAGCGTGTTACTCGGTTCTACTTCTCCACTTAGTCTACAGAACGGCAGACGCGCGAAAGGCAAGGCGACAACTTAGAAAAATGAAAATGTAACAATTCAATTTGCGACGTAACAAGTTAACGTAGTTTAACTAAAGCGGTGCTCGAGTTTTATATTCAAGACGGCAAAAATTCATTTAGCTGCAAGTCTGACGAGGTAGGAGGGCACCCAATTTTCGCGTTAGAGGAGGCGGGCCGTCGTTCGTACACATGTCGCCGGGTGAGTTCCTCGCGGGGTCACGTATTGGCTTCCTCTAATACAATTTGTTGGAAGACGCGCGCCGTCCGCGGAATGCAAACAGGCTAACGACACGTCGCAGCGTATGGAAATTACGAAAAATCAGTTAGGTAGACGGTCATATTCAACGTGAATCAAAAGGGCGTGAACGCCATATTCTCCTGAACGAAGACAGCACATGAAAAAGTATATTTTACTAATTATATCAGCATTTTTTGTACTATAGCTTCGATTCGATATTAGTAAAAAGATCTGTGTGCTTTTGGATTAAGATGTTTAATTGACACATGTTATTTAATTTTTTACTATGTTAGGGCCTTGCAGCAGCTTCTGCTGTTGCACAAAATGCCACTGCCTCATATTATAATCTGCCTCATTCTGAAATGTAAGTATCAACTTTCGCGTTTTGTCTAGTAAATGAGGTAACTGGGGGCCGCTTTTTAAAGATTGTCAACGCGTTTACAACCTATAAGTTGCTGTCGATGTCCATGGGCGGCGGTATTCACTTTCACCCCCTGCTCGCTTAACAACTTTTCACATAAGGACAATGGAATATTTAAATTTTTTTTATTATTTTTGTTTTTATGAAAGACGAAATGCGAAAAGATGAAATTGCGTTCAGATAAAATAATTTTAAATAAGGCACTACAAAAAAAAGCTGAACACTTAAAATATGCCGAATAAAATACAAACGTGATAAATATTATTGTAAATAGAAGATATAACACCGGTGTTACAAAAACACGACTTAAGACCGCTATGGACTGATATAGGCTTACGGCCGACCTTACATTATTCTATTTATCCGTAGATTTAGTTATTGGAGATACAATTTTGATGTAAGTAATATAGAGCTAATATTGTAACCGGCCGTTAAACTAGTCAAGCATTTAGGAGGTTACCCATTGTTTAACGCCAAAGCACAATAAAATTACGTAGACAAAATGAACATCTGCCAATATGAAATGTATTCATGGCTCTAAGCCCTCAAAATGATATAATGCCAAAGTGTAGGGGCACACGGTACGCGCTTACAGCGTTGTTTACATCGATATTGCACTCGAATTATTAAGTCTTGGCGGCGCTTACCCGCAAAGCAAACTCATGAATAATAGCCATGAATATAGTAAACTACGGACACGATGTGCACAGTCCACGGATTATCGGAATTTATGTGGCACGTGTGTGACGCACCTCTCGCTTGTCCCGGCCGGGGAAGAAAAATATTGTGGTCGGAGAGCTTAAATATTGATGGATTTATGGGCGCTCTTAAAATTATGACAGACCCTGAGCTACCGGCGACTTTATTGAATCTTATCTTGCGGCCGAATTTATTGGCGCCCGTATTAAATTTAGGGGATGAACATCTTGCCTATCCCCGTGTCTGTGTTTAGAAGGACGTAATAATTTGTTACGATTGGCAACGTTGGCTATTTGCATCTCCTGATTTTCTTTCTCGTCTTTATATTATAATTTATATTCGGGCAAATTAGATAAACAATTTTATGGCATTATACACTATTGTGATAAAAGGTGCGGGGTTTTTAAGAGCCGTTATATTTACGTATTACATTCATAATCGCTTATCAAATTGCGATATTGAACATATAATTATTATAATAATTAAGCAGATGCTTAATCCAGGACTAATGTTTATGGCCAAAAAGCATAAAAATCTTTAGTCAACTTCCGTAACTAGTATGTTATCATATCATTGCTTATGCTTTATACTAGTATTATATCATATTTAATTAATTTAAGCAACAATGCATATTTAAAAAAGAAAAGAAATAAAAATCATAAAGGTAATACGGATTGCAGTTAAATTATGCGAGGCCTTATTTTTATTTGTTAATATTTCCATTTCTCTCTTTACGTGTTCCTTTTAATATACATGACTCGATAATAGTCTGCGCATTCAAATTCAATACCAGTTCGTTTCAATGAAAATTCTGCAAAGTCGTCGCCGCTATTGGAATAACAGTGGTCGAGCCGGGCATTGTAACATTCATACATCTGACGAACTTCAAAAGAAAATATTTTCTAAAAGAGTACTCCCAAACTAAATCATTTGAAGCAAGAATATAAGTTGCGAGTAACAGACAGATGGCCCAAGTTGAGGTGCAAATAAAGTTTGAGTGGAAAAACTTATTCGTTCCCCGCAAATCCTGAGTCTGCGGCGCCCGAGTCTATGCCCTCGGGATACCTTTAACAATTTGTAAGTTATTTATTGCTGCCAAGAAATATCATTAACCCTTTTAAAGTTTATCCCTTTCAAGAAGAAGATCCGTTTGTTGCAGGTAATAGGTTTTATGACGAAACGGATTGGATGTGTTTATCGAGAACATCTTGAAAAACTTGAAAATAAATATGGAAATAAAACGGGAAACGGCTATACGATTGAAATAAAATATTCCACCATTATTTTTGTGAATATTTTACGTATCTCTATAAAATAATTGCAACGTCTCTCTTAAGTTATTGCTTTAATTTGTAACTAAGTTAAATTGGGATTTTATATACCTACAATTATGTATATCTAAAGGTTCCAACGGTTAAA